TGATCTTGTGTCTGCAAATCATGACCATCAAACCAGCTATCGATGATCCGATCCGTGGCCAGCAGCCGCACGACCACGCCATAAGCACTAAATCACGGTTTGACGGGCTTGTATCCACCGTGACGTTCTACCAATATGACCATACGGGATAAACAATGCAATTAAACTCATGATTTATCGGGAAAGCTTGGATACTGGGCTTTCAGAAACTTCCCTGTGATAAGCTGCTAGTCTGAAGTAAGACGCCATTTGCAGACAGGATGACAGTGCCATTTGCTTTGCAGACTTGAGGTGATATTGATCCAAGAAGAAATACTCGAATTGTAGATTACCGAATGAATTAACGGCGCAAAAATGAGTCGTTCCGGTATGTGAATGGAGGGAATTCGTGGGAAGTTAGCTCTTTTAAGCGTCGTTGATAATATCCACTATTGCGCATTGTTTTTTTCAGGGGGAGAAATATTACCAGGAGGTCGAATGGTGGAGGGGTCGTCAAAGCAGCGCTACCTCTGCTGGGGTATCATCCTAGCAGTTATCTTCGCCGTCATCGTGCTCATCATTCTGCTCTCCAGTAAGTGCGGCAAACTTTCAGCTCATTATCGTGAATGCATTTGGGGAGTAAGGCAAGGGTGTGTATGGATGATTTATCAAAGTTGGCGTTGGCTGTGACAGTAAAGTAAGGACAAATGCATTCAGCCGACAACCATAACAGTTAAATGGGCAGTTTGGGATCAACCTGAAATAAATAGGTACACGAGGCTTGATAATACGGAATATCAGAATATTTACAACAAACGCTGATACTTTCTTAATAAAAAACAACACAACTCATATCCTCTGAAACATCCCTGCCTCTGTTCTTACCGAATATGTTAATGCCTAGCTCACTTATCCCTATATACGCCACTCCCCTCATAATACGCCTTAGTATAACCGGTTTAGGAAAACAGTCCCAGAATCTGCTGCTACAGCTTCCATCCCCTTCCCGATGCACGAAGACCGTCCCCCGTTTCGAAGCTCAGTAGCCGACCAGCCACTGTGGCCGTCAAGGTCGACCCCCCCCCCCCCTCCCACTGCTGACCACGTGGTCACGGAGAGGGGGGGGCGTACCTGGCACGGCCACCGCCACATCTGGAGGGGGAAGAGAGGGGGCAGAATGCTGACGGCACACACGAGACACGGAGATATCACGAGATGATACCCTTGCAATTAAGTGAACTTATTTGTTTTAATTGTTTCAAGGGACGTTCATGATGAAAAATAAAATGCATAGGTAGGGTTATGCATTGGGATGATAGGTTAATCGGTTTATGATCGGTTTAACTTCATAAACCTACTAATGGGACTCAGTCTGACGTCTGATCCAACCTTTCGCTCACAGCCGGTGCATTCTACGGAGCCGACGATGCAGTGGCGGAAAATGGCACTCTGTCGGCAACTGACGCCCAGTCCGGCCTCAAACGACCTTCGACGCGACCGACGACGACGCTGCCGCCGCTGCCACCGCCGCCCATCGGTAGGTACCGCATTCAGGTCAATGGTCGAGTCAACCTTTGATTCGGGTGTACAGCACTCGGCAGATGTGACAATATGCATGGAGGGTCTTCATACGCGGTGCTCGTATTTCCAAGATGAGATTATTTCGATGTGTAAAAATAAGTTTTTAAGTGTAAACCATTGGCGTAATGAAATATTTGACACCTAATTTCTGCTTATATTATTCTCAAAATACCTTGCTGAGACGAAATACATAATCATAGGAAATATTCAATAAGGTATTTTAACAGCGACTTTTCTTGTTTCAGTTGACGACGTGTTCACTGGTTCGTTGCGACTAAATGAAGAGTTCCATCCGATGCTATACGACAACTCATCGCGGGAGTTCAGTCGTATGAAGAGCAAGGTGGAAAATTTGGTAAGCAGAACCGTTTCCAAGGGTTTTAAGTAGCATTTACATACAATAAAGATGTTTGACTTAAGAGTCATGTTACCTTTTCCTCAAGTTATAATTAATATGAAATAATATTTTCGGAGTTTCTTGAGTGATATATATTGAAAAATTGATAGCAAATATTTCGATACTCGTAGTGGTACCTTTTTCAATGCGAGTGATGCACAGTGCGAGCTTTGTTAAGCACAACAAAATAACACAATTCCCATGCAATCGGTGGAGCTGGGTCCTCCAGTGCAGATAAAATAACCTATACGATACCGCCTTCCTATGAACTTATACAATATCACTGTCTATCACGGAATTTTAATTACATATTTAGACAATCAGCGCTAATTTAATAAAAAGAGCGTCACTTCAGTTACAGGTAAGTCACACTTACACAAGGTGACCCCCCCCCCCCCTCGCGTGTTCGTTCAGCGTGCCAACCACTATTTTTTTAGCACAATGTCCCATATTGGGCTCAGCTGGACGCCACCGCTGTCGAGATTCATTGACGGGCGCAGCTGTCGGATCTCGATGGCCTCCCTGATTTTACGTTTTTTCCAGTGGGGTTCGATGGCAAGGGTTCTCGCCTCGAACGGGTTCAAGTCACCGCCACAGGTACAAAAGTGTCTGGCCGTCGCTGACGTATCGCAGCGTCCGTGCTTGATATCGGCGGTGTGCTCCTTCAATCTGTCCTGTTTTGGTCGCCCTGACTCTCCGATATAGCTGGAGCCGCACGAGCACTTTATCTCATATACGGCCCCTTTCTTCTTGCTCTGCTCCACGGGATCTTTGACGTTAACCAGGTGACCCCTCAATCGCTTGGATTTGTGAGCTACCTTGATTCTGTGTGGCCTGAGAACCTTGGCTATCCTTTCGCTGAGACCTGGGACGTAGGGCACTGCCGCATAGGCTTCTTGGTCTCTGGCGGCGGCTTCCCCCTGTACGGTCTGGCTGGCGTCACGGCGTCTCATAGCCCTCTTGATAAACGGCTCCGGATAGCCATTGGCTACGAACACATCCCGTATCTTGCTCTTCTCCTCCTTCACACTTGACATGTCGCTGCAGACCCGTCTTGCTCTGGCTTCCATGCATCTTATTAGACCAGCTTTCATGGCCGCGGGGTGGCTCGAGTTGTACTTCAGGTACACGTTTGATGCGGTCGCCTTCCGGTAGACTGAGGTGCCCAGCCGACCTTCTGACCTCTGGACAAGAACGTCCAAAAACGGCAGTTTCTGGTCCACCTCCCGCTCCAGTGTAAACTGGATACTTGGGCAGAAATCGTTTAACCGCTGGTGGAACTCTTGCAGAGCTTCATCGCCGTGGGGCCACAGGATGAAAGTGTCGTCAACATAGCGTCTCCAGAGTGTGGGCTTCAGAGTGGCGGATGTCAGGATGGACTGCTCCAAATGTTCCATATAGGCATTCGCCAAGACGACAGATAGGCTGAGCCCCAGAGAATAAAGATGTTCTCTGTCCTCAAAACCTCGAGTGATGTGAATGATTTTCTTTTAACCCGTTATCGGAATATATCAGCTTCGGCTGCTCTTTTCTCCGATGTTGCGTCCAGTTATTCCTCGTGGCGTCAGCTATGGTAAACATTGAAATACAAAGAAATGTCCTGTTTAAAGGTAGAAATAAGGGTCTGGAATAAGTTTAGATATTTTGTTCTGTTTTTCCATCTTCCATCAATCCTCCAGAGCGGAGCACAGCGTTACAGTTTGCCTTCCGACCTTGCGGCACAGCATATATTCAGGCGTTCACTGCTAGTGACATCTAACGGCAAAATATGAAGTCGCTTTCCTCGGCTCGCTTGTCGTATTGCGCGACGCTGTTGGTAATGAATAATTAGTAATTATGGAATATTTTCACCCATTTCCTTATGCAATGAACAAAACGTGCCTTTAAAATGTTTAAAAATTACTATTATAGTAACTATATGTAAACATTATAACGTTAAAAGTCTAATGATAGGTAAACGTTATAAATCACTGTTATTGACATGCTGCGTTACACCTGTTTATCTACCTTTTGCAGCTGAACGAGGCGTTCTCACCGTACAACTGGCCCGAGGGAAGTGACGACATGGGATCAGTCATCGCCACCGTCACCAGATTCACGTGAGTATTTATATACATTGTATATAGGGGTTTACGTCCTGGATTTCCAGCTACCGTCCCATCAACCGCGATTCCTAGTTTTGCTACTTTGTGACATAGGAATGGCATACGTTGTGGGAGCGACAATTATCCATAGCCCAGCACGTAGCAATATAATTCAAGTATCGATAGCATGGCTGTTCTTTTCTTACGTAAGACACCTTCGGACAAAGTGTCTCAAAGCTTCCCACCAGGCGGCATAAGCGGCTTCGGGTATTCCCGAAGACATGGGAAGTTTAATGCATAATACGTTAGCCGTTAGCCGTTCATTGACACTTCAGCGCACCTCGCTGTCTGTATTTTTTCCTGGCAACCCGTCACGAAACTCATTTTCTTCGCAACTTGATTCAATGGAACCACGGACCGAAAAATTAGCTGTCACCCCGCGGTGTATGGCGCTCGCACCTGTCCGGCAGATATAGCACTTCCTGCATGACTTCTAACCTGCACGACTCTTCCCCTTCCGTTCCACAGGCGAGGCAGCGTGGTGGCTGAGTTCACCCTGCTCTCCCACCACGCTGAGTCGCTGACTCCTCAGGAGGCCGGCCAGCGCCTGCAGGAGCGTCTGAGACAGGTCACCACCTCGCCAACGGCCACAATCACCGCTTCCAAAGTGGATATTACTCGTGAGTGCAGCGGAAATCAATGGAGAGAGGATACGGAAGGATGGGCGAGGGGCGGGGGAGGGGAAATGTCGAACATGTCAGACGTAATACACATTACCAATACCAAATGTACCTATCACTATATCAACTATGTTGATTGACTTGCATTTGTTCCATCACTTAGAAGTGTGGAAAAATTCACAAAACTAGTTGATTCGTTCGCTCGTTTCATGTCGCCAAATGGGCTTATCTAAGATACCTATAAGAAACGGCTAGTCCACGCGCGGATGTCTGAACTTTGACCGACATTTTTCGCGTTGCAGCGATGGAGGACCTGTGCGCCACGCACCAGTCGGGCTGCTCCCATGACTGTCAGTTCTCCTACTCGAGTATGTCGTTCGTCTGCCTCTGTCCGTCTGGTATGGAGGTTGACAAGGATGGACGCACCTGCGTGTTCCCAGGTAGGTCCGATGAGGTCGTACTTCAAGGAAATGGAAGGCTGGGCGTAAAGGACGGTTTGTGGCAGAGGGACGTGCTTTACATAATGTGAAAATTGATAAGATATGCGTTTGATAATGACAAGTATGTAGTTATCATCTAACTAAGTTACAATTTTTCCTCAATATCCCCAAGGTCAAACAATTTTTATGTCGCATTATAGATCATAATTATGATAAAGTGTGTTTTTTCGTCCTTCAGGGAGCCGTGAAAAAGATTAAATTGTAAATCAAGTCGTATCTTGTAAGGCTCGTTGCAAAAAAAATGAACAGATATAACACACATTCCAATGTCCATTCTGACACGCCCCTGCTAACCAGCTTGCCGTGTTCCTTCCCCAGAGCCGGTCGTCACAGAAACTGTCCCGGAAATCCACCGGATCGAGGACCCGCACCTGGGTGCCGCCCTGCACCCCGACATCCCCTACACTGTGGACCACGAGTGGATGCACGAGGATGGTGAGACCACCCCGGAGCCGGAGCCGGAGACCACCGCGACGGACCTGTTCCCGGACCACGAGTGGGTCCACGAGGACGGTGAGACGACCCCGGAGCCCGAGCCGGAGACCACGGAGACCGACCCGTGGATGTTTGGAGGCGAGGAGGCGGCGGCGGGAGCGGAGCCGGAGCCGGAGCCGGAGACGACAGCCGAGCCGGAGCCGGAGTCGGAACCGGAGCCGGAGACCACTGTAACACCTGACGTCATGGTGGAGGACCATCTTTCGGTGCTCGGAGGACTGTTTGATGAGCCCGAGACGACCGCGGAGCCAGAGCCGGAGACGACTGCGGAACCGGAGCCGGAGCCAGAGACAACGGCGGAGCCGGAGCCTGAGCCGGAGACAAGTGCAGAGCCTGAGCCTGAGCTGGAGACAACTGCAGAGCCTGAGCTTGAAGCAACAGCGGAGCCTGAGCCAGAAACAACAGTGGAGCCGGAAGTTACAGCCGAACCCGAGCCGGAAGTTACAGCTGAACCCGAGCCGGAGCCGGAGCCAGAGGCCACTGCTGAACCGGAGCCGGAAACTACAGTGGAGCCGGAGCCGGAAACTACAGCGGAGCCCGAGCCGGAGCCGACCACCGTCGAGCCTGAACTGGAGCTGAAGACGACGTTCGACACCGGCCGTGTCCCTAAACTGGATGAAAGTCCAGCACCGGCAGGTAAAGAAGGGTCTGCGCGACTTCTTAGCTTCGCCCTCTGAATCTATCTATGAATTAACTTTTTGCGTTTTCGAAGTGCTGATACATCTAGTTATTGACGCAGGTCGTTCCTGTTTGTAACGCCTTTGTTTGTGTTCCAGTTCGGTCCATATTCAACGCGACCATGACACTGGAGGAGGAGTTCCCCGAGGGCCTGAAGGACAACACGTCCGCTGACTTCCTCAGGATGACCGTCAGGGTCAAGAAGGAGGTGAGTGGCCGAATGGAAAATGTTCACAAATTCCTAATAACTATCACATAAGCTTGCAAATACCTACCCTGAAGTGAAAGCATTCATAAGTTTCGTCAATCTGAGAATGAGATGTATAAACGTATCTCTAGTTAAATTTCCACTATCGAGGATGAAGCTGCTTCTTACATCTACCAGCCTGAAATGTCGTGCTCCTGTTTGGACTTATAGCAGGCTAGCCGACGACACACGTAAGTTTGACGTGTCCTGTTTCACAGATGGCTGAGGCCTTCTCCAGCTTCAACTGGCCCGAGGGAGACGACCTGGGTCAGATCGGCATCAAGATCCGCAAGTTCGAGTAAGTTTATCATGCGAATTCGATTTCACCTTAAAGTTTTCATTATATTTTGCGACTTATAGGTATCGGAAAACCTCAGACAATGTGGAAAAACAGCGGTATAGGTCGCATTATTACTCTTGACTTATTCGGAAGAAGCTCAACAAATTTAATTGCTTTTTCATTATCAGTGAAGGTTGAGACGTTTTAAACATGTAACTCGGCCTTATGAGTTAAGACTGTATCTACCATAAGCTATTCCACTTCTCTCGGTTCCAACCTGACTGACTCCCCCCCCCCCCCCCGTCTCCCCGCAGGCCGGGCAGCGTGGTCATCTTCTTCCACATCACCACGGGCGACACGGGCTCGGCGGCTCCGGAGGAGACGGCCCGCCGTCTGCAGGACCGGCTGACCGACTACTTCACCAGCACCGAGGGCCTCCAGTTCCACGGAGCACGCTTCCCCGTCTCGCAGATCGGCGTGGAACGTGAGTAGACGATGTTGGAGACGATGTAGACGATGTTGGACACGATGTAGACAATGTTGGAGACAACGTAGACGATGTTGGGAAAGCCGGGCTTATGCTACTGTATAAAATGCTTAGAATGTATTCCTTTTGAGAAAACTGTGATTGAGGACCTATAGCAGGAATGACTGGGTATATTTGGGGCCAATTTGTAATATTTGCTACCTGATGTGACTTTCTGTGCCTAGGCTCGCACTGATCCGCACTATTTCTCGTCGCGCAGCTCTGAGAGACCTGTGTGCGACCGGCGAGTCGGGCTGCTCCCACAAGTGCCACTACTCGGCGGCCGATGACCAGTTCCGCTGTGCCTGCCCCGAGGCCATGGAGCTCGCCGGTGATCAGCTCACCTGCAGGCGCATCGAATCAGGTGAGGCTGCCGGGCCTGAGAGCTGTCGCTGAGGACTTTGTCAAGTGTGTAGCCTGCCAGGGTGGTATCGAGAGCGTGGTTGACCTGACAATCTGGACCGAATGAACTAATCAGTGAATCAGCGAATTAGATGAATCACTGCATTTCTTTGTGCGATTGTCGCACTTTGTCGTTAACTTGAATGACAGGCAACGAGTTTATTTCATCAGAAAAACTATGTTTTATGACCATTTCTAGACCAGACTCATTGCGTAATGTCATCTAAGAACCACTGTGCCGGAGTTCAGTTTGCCGCATGTAAGTTTCAACAATTAACCAGACACTGACGGTCTGCGTTATTTTCAGTGCCTCCTCTCATCTCTCGGTGGAACGGACACGCCTGGGTGCTGGCCAACGAAACTCTGAAGCCCGTGATCCTGACGACTACCACCGAGATGGCCCCGGAAACCACGCCGGAACCGGAACCTGCGGCTACAACCGAGGCGGAACCAGAGACTACAGCCGAGCCGGAGCCCGAACTTACGGCAGAGCCTGAACCGGAGACAACAACGGCAGAGCCTGAACCGGAGCCTACAACCGAGACTGGTGGTTCGGAGACTCACGGTGAACATGACAACTGGTTGCACGATCATGAGCACCACTCGCACGACGAGGCTACGACGGCGCAGCCGGAGCCGGAAACCACCCCGGAACCGGAACCAGAGGGCACGCCAGAGCCGGAACCAGAGGGCACACCCGAACCGGAGCTGGAGACCACAATTGCACCGGACGCCAGCAACGCCCTCGATTTGGACGCGACGGCTGAGGAGGTCAAGAGTGGTTCTCAAGTCATCGACGAGACGTCTACCTCTGAGTCTGAGTCAACGGCTGAGTCTGAGCCAACAGCTGAGCCTGAGCCAACTGCTGAGCCTGAACCGACAGCTGAGCCCGAGCCGACGGCTGAGCCTGAGCCGTCTCTGGAGCCGGATGTGGCATCGGCTGCCGATCAGCTGAGCCTAGACGAGAAGCTGGACATGATGCACGCGATGGGCATCGTCCCCGAGTGGGAGAGCAGCAATGCTGAGGCAACCACTGCGGAGCCGGAGCCGGAGACCACAGCGGAACCGGAGCCAGAAACGGCTGCCGATTCCAAACCCTCAGAAGAACCGGCACCTGCCACCGAACCGACCGCTGAACCCGAGCCTGAGCCGACCATAGAGGGCTCACCGTCCACGGAGCCTGAGACCTCATCCAAACCAGCCGCCAATGAAAACGAGTTAGCTGCCGAAGAGAACGTTGTTGAGGGCGCCGAGCCCACCATGTCCAGTGAGCCGCAGCTGCCGACGGTTGCGGACGCCGAAGCGAATGAGGTGCCCGAGGAGCCCGTGAACCCGCCCAGCTTGGCCGAGGACGAGATGCACCGGGGTGGCGAGCGGACTGCCGAGGCAGAGCTGCTGCCTGTCGTCAACAACAGCCTCGACGACCGGCGGCGCGCCAAGGTCCTCAGCGAGACGGCCGGACAGGCGCCGGAGACGGCCGAGCGTGCCAAGGCGACAGTGCCGAAGGAAGGCGCCGAAGAGACGACGCTGAAGGACGAGGCCATCAATGAGGTGTCGGTCGAGGTGGGTGCAGAGGCCGCTGCTGGAGTAAAGGATGAGGCTGCAAACGAGGTTTCGGTGGATGTTGTGCCCAAGCCGGAAGCCAGGGTTGCATCTGAGCTTGAGACTGATGTCGACGTGGCGGCTCAGACTGCTTCTGAGACTGTTGAAGTCGGTGCCGAGACTTCTTCAGAGTCAGCCACGGAAACAGGTGCTGAACCTGCCACAGAGGCTTCTGCTACTGAGCCTGCTCAGGCAGAGATCGGCGTTGATCAGTCTGCCACCGGTAATGGTGAACCTGCTACCGAGGACGCGGAGCCAGAGAAGGAAGTTGCCACCGAACCAGCGTCTGAGCCTGAGAAGGAAGTAGCTGCCGAGCCTGCAACCGAGGCTACTGAACCTGAGAAGGAAGTTTCCGCCGAGCCAGCAGCTGAGCCAGAGATGGAAGTTCCTGCCGAGAATGCCGCTGAACCTGAGCCGCAGGGAGTTCCTGCCGAGCCAGCGGCTGAGCCCGAGAAGGAAGTTGCTGCACAGCCTGTGAAGGAAGTTGCTGCCGAGCCTGTTACTGAGGCTGTTGAGCCCAAGAAGGAAGTTCCTGCCGAGAATACCGCTGAGCCTGAGCCGGAGGGAGTTCCTGCCGAGCCAGCGGCTGAGCCCGAGAAGGAAGTTGCTGCCGAGCCTGCAACCGAGGCTGCTGAGCCCGAGAAGAATGTTCCTGCTGAACCTGCCGCTGACCCTGAGCCGGAGGGAGTTCATGCCGAGCCTGCTGCTGAACCCGAGAAGGACGTTGCTGCAGAGCCAGCGGCCAAGCCTGAGAAGGAAGCTACTGCTGAGCCTGTGAAAGAAGTTGCTGCCGAGCCTGCAACCGAGGCTGCTGAGCCCGAGAAGAACGTTCCTGCCGAACCGGCCGCTGAGCCTGAGCCGGAGGGAGTTCCTGCCGAGCCATCGACCGAGCCCAAGAAAGAGGCTGCTGCAGAGCCAGCGGCCGAGCCTGAGAAGGAAGCTACTGCTGAGCCTGTGAAGGAAGTTGCTGCCGAGCCTGTAACCGAGGCTGCTGAACCCAAGAAGGAAGTTGCTGCCGATCCAGCGGCTGAGCCTGAGACGGAAATTTCTGCCGATCCAACGGCTGAGCCTGAGAGGGAAATTTCTGCCGAGCCAGCGGCTGAGCCCGAGAAGGAAATCGCTGCTGAGCCTCGGAAGGAAGCTGCTGTCGAGCCTGTAACCGAGGCTGCTGAGCCCGAGAATGAAGCTGCTGCTGAGCCTGTAACCGAGGTCGCTGAGCCTGAGAAAGAAGCAGCTGCTGAGCCTGTAACTGAGGTTGCTGAGCCTGAGAAAGAAGTTACTGCAGAGCCTGTAGCAGACACAGCTGAGCCTGAGAAGGAAGCTGCTGCCGAGCCCGTAACCGAGGTTTCTGAGCCTGAGAAGGAAGCTGCTGCCGAGCCTGTAACCGAGGTTGCTGAGCCTGAGAAGGAAGCAGCTGCTGAGCCTGTAACTGAGGTTGCTGAGCCTGAGAAGGAAGCTGCTGCCGAGCCTGCAACCGAGGTCGCTGAGCCTGAGAAGGAAGCTGCTGCCGAGTCTGTAACTGAGGTTGCTGAGCCTGAGAAGGAAGCTGCTGCCGAACCTGTAACCGAGGCTGCTGAGCCCGAGAAGGAAACTGCCGCTGAGCCCGAGAAGGAAGCTGCTGCGGAGCCTGTAACTGAGGTTGCTGAGCCTGAGAAGGAAGCTGCTGCCGAGCCTGCAACCGAGGTCGCTGAGCCTGAGAAGGAAGCTGCTGCCGAGTCTGTAACTGAGGTTGCTGAGCCTGAGCAGGAAGCTGCTGCCGAACCTGTGACCGAGGCTGCTGAGCCCGAGAAGGAAGCTGCTGCCGAGCCTGTAGCAGACACTGCTGAGCCTGAGAAGGAAGCTTCTTCCGAGCCTGTAACCGAGGTTGCTGAGCCTGAGAAGGAAGCTGCTGTCGAACCTATAACCGAGGTTGCTGAGCCTGAGAAGAAACCAGCTGCTGAGCCTGTGACTGAGGTTGCTGAGCCTGAGAAGGAACCAGCTGCTGAGCCTGCGACTGAGGTTGCTGAGCCCGAGAAGGAACCAGCTGCTGAGTCTACGACTGAGGTTGCTGAGCCTGAGAAGGAAGCTGCCACGACCACTCCTCGCACGACGAGGAAACGTAAGCGCAACCGGAACCGGAAAAACCGTAACCAGAGGGAACGCCAGAGCCGGAACCAGGCTGTGAGAGACACTGCTGAGCCCGAGAAGGAAGCTGCTGCAGAGCCTGAAACCAAGGCTGCTGAGACTAGAAAGGAATCTTCTACTAAGCCTGAGAGGGAAGTTGTTGCCGAGTCCATCGAGCCAGAAAAGGAAGCTGCTGCTGCTGCTGAAACTTCTGTAGAGGCTGTAGCTGAAGCTGCTGCCGAATCTGTCGAAAAGGCTGCTGAGGTTAAAACGGAAGTCACGCAGTCTGAAATCCCTGAAACTAAAGCTGCTGCCGAGACTGTCACCGAGGCAGCACCAGCACCGACTGAGGAGACTTCAGAGCCTACCGAAGCCGCTGCGTCGTCCGAGTCATCTTCTGAAAGTTCAGCGTCGCCCACGCCCCCGTCAGAGGCGGCTGAGCCGGCCGTAAAGCCGAAGGGAGCGTCCAAATCGGGGCAGGCGCTGCTGGACGAGGCGCTGAGAGAAGCCGTCGAGCAGAGCAACGACCTGCGCCGGCGGAGGTAGGCACCGCCGGCGGCCGGCCGCAGACTATTTGTGATACAGATGCCGAGTGATTGTGCGAGTGCAGGAGTGCCAACAGATGAGTGCCAGCGGGTGAGTGCGGAGTGCTAGCCGATCTGATCGTGGGCGAACAAACTCAAGTGCCGCCAGAGGACGGCGCCTCACTCAGACAGCGGGACCAGTTGCGTTTAGCTGAGCAAATGTTTAGTCGTAGCTAGGTTAGCCGTTCTCATAAATCGCCGTGACGAGCGCGGAATGGTCGCGCAAGTGTAACGTTCAGTGCTGCCTTTGAGCTGCCACGCCCTACTCGCGCGACGCTGCGCATATTACGGTGGGCGGCCTCCGTCCACGAGTGTAATGCATTCCGTCCGAGTTATTATCTACAGGAATCGCTGTAGCAGTGTCGAACTGCCGAGAGGTGTGCCTCGCTCATAAAGTCGATCATGCGGGGACAGATTGTGTGATTGTGCGTGTGTGAAGTAATGTCGAGCTCCGTTCCATGCACGCTTGTGCGCATATGCAAGGTGCTCATACCGCCCGCAATAGCTACTTGAGGCGGCAATGCGCACAAATCGCGTCAATGATTCCAATACTTGTTTGAATACAGAAACGAAGGTCAGTGTGTTTTTGAAAAAAAGCGTGATAGCATCGGTTACCGCGGCGCTTGGTGTGGGAGGTCAAAATTGTTGCGTGGAAGAGTAGATTATGTTTACATTTTTATCGACAACCATCATCCTAACATCAATCAGACTACAGTGAGAAAACTGCAACTACACACGCAATAAAATATTTTGTCAAAATGCGAGCTAAGTTAACGTTTCTACCAGTTTCTGATTTAATACATATTGCAGCTGACCATTGAAAACGCCAACAAACAGATTATGCAAGTGTGACATTGTATTTACAACGCGCAGGCGAGTACGAGTGAACAGCTATGAGGAGAAAGTCAGCCATCCCTGTCCTGTGACAGTCAACTCCTGAACCGATGTTACCTGTCCGTAACCCACAAGGGACAGAGCTGGTACATAGGTCAGCGCGGAAGGCTGAACCACTGAGGAATGGGCCAACTCTCACATTCAAACAGCTCACAGGCTGGACGGGGGTGGCCCGTCATAGCTTATCGGACAATGAATCGCCGTGTTCTATTCAATACTTGACCGCGCGCCTCTTGAATGTTCGCTGTGTCATCCTCAGAACCAGTAGATATTGAGACACAGTGTTCCTGGTTCCACTATGATCTGCCTCGCGATACACTCGAGTCCATAGTGGGAATGCGCCGCACATCCACCCAGCAACACTTCTGCCGCCACTCACCAACCGACTCCGGTGGAAAACTGACAGCGCCCGCCGGAGGTCAGCCAGCCAGCTTAGCGGGCCGACTTGGAGATCTGCTCCTTCAGTACCATGATGCTCTGCCGCTGCTCCGGGGGCAGCATGGCAATCTGTTCGTCCGAGAGCTGCAGCACCTGCATGATCAGCGCCGCCTGCCGGAAAAGAAAAGAAGTAGTGGTTCAGTGAGACGCCGCATAGGTCAGTCTCGCTCTGTTCACATCAATTGGCGGAATGTCGATAGTTTAGACGAGTTACACCACGAAAGTAAGGGTATTTCGTAATGTGTATTAATCTATGGAGAGCTGAGTTGATCCATGGCACCTTAAGTGATTTAAAGACAGATGATATGATTCATGCTATCTATGCAACACACTAAGCATTGCAATCAGCAGCCTTTGGTGTATGAGAGCTCCGATACGAATCAGCTATTTCTCCAGACATTCTCCGAATATGTCTAACGTCAAAAATGGTATCCTAGGTCCTCATCCATGCCACATTCTTACCCTTCCCCCTTCCTTCCAACCCTCACACCTACCTTCTCCTGATCTCCTCCCGCCAGATTAGCGGGCAGGTTGATGGCTCCCAGGTCCGGCCCGGGCCGGCTGGGCGCGGCCGGCGGCGGACCCCTCATGTCGCGGTCGCCACCGGCCAGAGGACCGGCCATGGGACCGGGTATGGGACCGGCGGCGGCGCGCGGGTCCCGCGGGTCACGCGCCTCCCTCGGGTCGCGGGGGTCGCGCGGGTCGCGGCTCGGCGCCGGCGCCTCCGGGAACCCGCGGCCGAACGGCGCGCCGGCCGCGCGCGGGTCACGTCCAAACGCCCTGTCAGAGGTCAGCTCCGGTCAGCATACGGAAGGGCAGCGTAAAGGCTAAGTGACGGAAGACAGTCGATTACTTTGACTAAAGTACGGAACAATGAGATAAGTAGGCCAACACCAATAGATACGGAAATTATTGAAGACCGGAAACCACGAACATAATTTACTCACTCAGCCAGAATCTATAGGGTCACCTTTACAGCCTGCCGGTAAAACAACCGCAAATACCCCAAAATCATCAAGATCTGCTGTTAAAAAGAGACAAGTAAATCTAATAAACAGTCCACAAGACAGTTCCCCTCCCCCGCAGACACCTACATATACACACGCATCATCCAAATTCCAAAAGCCTATCCTTCCCTCTTACATACCGGATTGAGCCTTTGCATTACAAGTTCCGTAAACCGTCCCGCTCACCTGGCGTCAAAGTCCTGCGGCGGCGGCGGCGGGCCGCGCATGTCCCTGTCGCCAGAGCGGAGGTCCATGTCGCCACGAAGGCCACCCGGCGGAGGGCCCCCGCGGCCCATATCAGGCCCTGGGACGGAGTCCGCAGGACAGTGAGAAACGATAGTGATGCGAAACCCGGGGCAGTTGTGAGTTGTGACAATGGTGAGTAAGTACGGGCAAAGTTCGAAGCTACATTTCCACAAGATCTCAATGCATGCTACCACCAGCTCTTATGTTAGGTACTCGACATTGCGACGCACATGAAATTGAGAGCTTTCGTTAAACACAGCAGCCTTCAACGCTTCAAACATTCATGCCTAAATAAGCCAACACGTACTCGTATTACTCTGGATTGACTTGTGCCCTATATCAAAAGAAAATAACGCCCCTGTCCCTCCTCTTCTAGCCTCAACTGTCAGTGACCAAATGACCAGAGAACTATCATTGATCAAGTTGATGTAAAATCCACCAATCAACTAACTACTCCTTACCTCTGGGCGGCATGCGGAGGTCCTGGTCGGCCAGTCGTCCGCCCGCGCGGGGGTCCAGGCTGCGCATGTCCATGTCTCCTGCCGGCGCGCCGGCCAGCGCCGTCGGACCCTGACGGAAGTCCACGTCCTGACCTGAAAGGGGGATGAAGGGTGAGAGTCATGAGTGTGGTCACGCGGGGATACTTGTCAGCAGGGCCTAAATCATGCGGAAGCTCCTAAAACTGATTTAGAGACGGCCAGAATTCAGTTGTTGTTGTTGTTGTCGTTCCGGCCGTCGGGCCCGGTGGGCCCACATGGGGGGCCCGGGAGGGCCCCAGCCCCCCTCGGGGGCGACACTTGCGACGTCCGCGCAGGGAGGGCAGCAGGCCCCCGGGCGGGTTCCGGCGGACTCAGACGCCGGGTAGGGCCGGAGAAACCAGCACCCCGCCAGAGTGTCTAGCGCCGTGGGCGCTCTATAGTCGGCCCAGGCGCCGCAGGAACTCGATAACCCGGCATGGGTCAGCAAAGACCTCCCGCAGCGTCGGGTCCTCTCTCCCGAAAACGTCGTGACGGACGCGGGCCGTCGCGGGGCACGACGTCAGGAAGTGTTCCGCGTCCTCCCTGACTCCGCCGTCGCAGGTCGGGCACCCATCGTCCTCCTCCACCCCGATGAAGTGACGGTACGCTTGCAGGGCAGGAGAGTGGCCGGTCCGGAGGCGCGCCAGAGCGGTGCCCTCTCTCCTAGACAGGCCGAGCCTGTCTGCCAGCCTGACCCTGCCCGGGCCGACGACATCGTGGTAGTCGTGGCTTAGGTGCGGGCGGGTCGCGGGCGCCGGTCGGGAGTGGCGCGTGCTCTCCACCCACTCTCTGCTTACGTGGCGCTTCAGCAGGCTCTTGGCCGCCGCGAAGGTGATGGGTATCCCGTCCTGCGGCAGCTCAGCGGCCTCCCTGGCCACGGCATCGGCGATCTCGTTGCCGGCGACTCCCGCGTGACCGGGAACCCACTGAAGGTCCACGCGGTGGCGTCGTCCTAGTCGCCGGAGGGATAGCCAGACTTGGTCAGCGACCCGTTCAGTCTGGTTGGCCGGGCCCTCCCTCAGACGCATGAGGGATGATAGGGAGTCGGTGCACAGCTGGATATTGAGTGCAGGGTCTTGATCGCTGAGGATGGACTCGATGTATTTGAGTGTCTCTCGTAGAGCGAGGAGCTCCGCTGTGTAGCTCGACGTGAAGCTGGCGCTCGGATCAGTCGTTAGTAGAGTCCCATCTCTTCGTCAAGTGGAGACAGCGATTCCACTTTTTCGGTAGCCATAACGATTTTTAAATTGTGCTTCTAACAAAAACATTCCTGACATGTTTGCAGTTTTACACGCCCCTAGTTGAGCTACCTAACACCACTACCGCATTGAAAAAAGTAGTCTCCATCATGGTCCAAGCCCCAACTCACAACCCGACAAGAACCACAACGAATGTGCCGGGTTCACCAATACTCTCCACCACACCCCACAGCGGCACTGACCTCCTCCGATGGGCCCGAACGGCCCCTCCTTGACAGCCGGCTGCGGGGCGGCCACCGACACCACGGGAGCCGGGACGGGGGCGGCCGGCACAGCGGGCGCGGGGGCAGCCGAGACGGCCGGGGCGGCGGTGCCGGCCGGTGTGTCAGCCGGCTTCAGCACCGGCGGCTCCGGCTGCGACTTGTGCAGCATCGACTGAAAGGAAAGGGCAGGCGAGCTCTTTAGAATTGCTACATATACCGTTCATGAATCCGTAATGAGGCCTGCAAACCATTCCGTTACATAAACAAGTGGAACGATTGAATCAGCTTAAGCACACGATCATTATAGAGACGAAACTAGACAGATAAAACACCATGCTTTGCGTAGGTTGGCTACATGACCGCTTGTAGTGACTGTATGGACCACATGGAACATTACATAACAAATTTGCTCAGGACGAACGAATGGAGCAAACGGCGAAAGTACGGCGTAGGAGCGGCAAATGCACGAGTACGGCGGTAACGGCAGAACGGCGGGTAGACCGCGTAGGGACTGAGGAATTGACGGGTGTATGGCAAACAAAAACACTCGTGTGAAACGGCGGCTGAGTGATGGGCATTGTTAGAGTTATGGGTTACAAGTTACAACTATACGGGAGCCACAGTGAAGCGCATTATAAATCACGACAGGAACTGTACAACGAATACCGAAAACACCAGTAAAACGCCTTTTGGGCGACCAACGGAGCGAGCGAGAGGATGGGCCTTGCACGTGCGAAATTGCGAGGGGGTACCTCCAACTAACTTGTGCACTGCACCCTACTAACCGGTCTTTAGCGATGTGCCAAATTTCAGCGCAATCGGCCTAGCCGTTCTCGAGATCTGGAAGCGGCACACTGCACGTGCGCACGTGCAAGCGGGGTCCAAACTGACTTTTGCACGGCACCCTACTAACTGGTCCCCAACCGTGTACCAAATTTAAGCGCAATCGGCCCAGCCGTTCTCGAGATCTGGGAGCGCCCCCTGCACGTGCGCACGTGCTGTAGCACCCCAAC